AAATGAAATGAAATGAAATGAAATGAAATGAAATGAAATGAAATGAAATGAAATGAAATGAGATAGATTTGCCATTGTTGTCCTGGAAGGTTTCCTTTCCTTATAGGCCCTACTTGTACCCTGTTCTGGTACTGGGTTTGTGCTGTACTTTATGGCGTCTGTTTCCCCAGTAAGTTTTACCATGTTCCCTTAAAACCAATTTCCATAAAATACTGAAGGGCACAGCAATGTGTCCATCTGGGTAAGCACCCATCTGTCAGCTTGCTCTCTTCCCTTCTAAATGAATGATTAGATTCCTGTCCCCTCTAAAATAATATTTTAAGTTTGCCATCTGGAATTAAAGCCAAGTCACCAATTTCTTTTCCTTCAGCTGCCTGCTTTGCCACCTAATCCACCATCTTCTTTCTGTTTCCTATACAGTTTTACCATTCTGATGTCCTTTTCAGTGTATAATGGCTCTTTGGTAGATTTACACCATGCTGAATTTGTTTTCCTTGCATGTCAACAATTCTTGCTCTTTCCAGACGGTACTTTGAGCGTGTACCACTCCAAATACATATGTAGCATCTGTCCATATACTTAAGGCTCTTGTCAAGGCAGTTATTTCAGCCTTCTGAGAGAAAGTTCCCACAGTTAATGGTTGTTCTTTGATTACCTTGTCAGTAGCAATTACTGTAAATCCTGCCTTGCAGTTTCCTTGTCTCACAAAACTGCTTCCATCAGTGAATCCAGGAATCCTCAGCATCATCCAATGGTTCCTCCTGTAGGTCTGGCTGACTGGCACAGACAGTCTCCAAGCAGTCACATACTGGCAGCTCAGAGACAGCTCCATGTTGGTGTTGTGGGCATTCAGCAAATTGCTTCCTTCCTCTACATCAGTCGGGCTTTCTGTTGAGAGACTTGATAATCATTTCAACTAAGAAACCTGAAATTCAGCAAACTCTCAGTCCATTGCACACGGTCCTCATTTGTTGCTGTAGCATCCATTACTGCAGTAAAGTT